TCCACCAACCAACAACACTCACCAACCAACAACACTCACACCAACAGCACTCACCCAACCAACAACACTCACCAACCAACAACACTCCACCAACCAACAGCACTCACCCCAACAACACTCACCACCAACAACACTCACCAGCCAAACCTCACCAACCAACAACACTCACCACCAACAACACTCACCACCAACAACACTCACCAACCAACACTCACCAACCAACAACACTCACCACCAACAGCACTCACCACCAACAACACTCACCCAACCAACAGCACTCACCAACCACCAGCACTCACCACCACCAACACTCACCAACCAGCAACACTCCACCACCAACAACACTCACCACCAACAACACTCACCACCAGCAAACACTCACCAACCAGCAACACTCACCAACCAACAGCACTCACCAACAACACTCACCACCAGCAACACTCACCACCAACAGCACTCACCACCAACAGCACTCACCACCAACAACACTCACCACCAACAGCACCCACCAACAACACTCACCACCAACAACACTCACCACCAACAACACTCCACCAACCAACAACACTCACCACCAACAGCAACTCACCAACCAACAACACTCACCCAACCAACAACACTCACCAACCAACAACACTCACCCAACCAACAACACTCACCACCAACACTCACCACCAACAACACTCACCCAACCAACAACACTCACCAACACCACCACCAACAACACTCACCACCAACAACACTCACCCACCAACAACACTCACCACCAACAACACTCACCACCAACAACACTCACCACCAACACTCACCAACCAACAACACTCACCCACCACCACACTCACCACCAACAACACTCACCACAACCACCAACCACTCACCAACCAACCACACTCACCACCAACAACACTCACCACCAACAACACTCACCAACCAACAACACTCAAACCAACAACACCCACCAAACAACACTCCACCACCAACAACACACCACCACCAACAACACTCACCAACCAACAACACTCACCAACCAGCAACACTCACCACCAACAGCACTCCACCCACCAACAACACTCACCACCAACAACACTCACCACCAACCACTCACCAACCAACACCTCCCAACCAACAACATCACCACCAACAACACTCACCACCAACAACACTCACCAACCAACAACACTCACCAACCAACAACACTCACCACCAACAACACTCACCACCACCTCACCACCAACAACACTCACCCAACCAACAACCCACCACACCTCACCACCAACAACACTCACCACCACCAACACTCACACCAACAACCCCACCAACACTCCACCACCAACAACACTCCACCACCAACAACACTCACCCACCAACAAAACACTCACCAACCAACAACACTCACCACCAACAACACTCACCAACCAACAACACTCACCACCAACAACACTCACCACCAACAACACTCACCAACCAACAACACTCACCACCAACAACACTCACCACCAACAACACTCACCACCAACAACACTCACCAACCAACAACACCAACCAACAACACTACCAACCAACAACACTCACCACCAACAACACTACC